TTNCCGATTGTTTCGACTTGATCGTTCTTTCGACTTCCGAATCTAACGCCCCGGCAATCACATTCGTGAATTATCTTATTGCGCGCCGGTTATATATATTGGCATCTCGCTCTTTACTCCTAATCGTCCGCCGAAAACTGACACGGGCGATGAGGCGGTCTCTCTCCATGGTCCGCGCGCTCCCTATAGTCCCATTTCATGCGGCCACGCAGCGCGCTAGCCGCTGAGGCCGCCGAGTGCCGATGCGTCTACGTCGGAGTCCCACGGAGCAAAAATCTTTCCGTCGCGTAGCGTTCCGCTACTCCGCACGCCAAGCGCTCTGATTGGAGCGCGCTAACTACTCAAGTCGAGTATATAAGCAGAACGCTACATAATAGGAAACTTTTTTCTTGTCGGACTCCGACGTGGTCGCGTCGGCACTCCGCAGTATAGTAGTACGGACACGCACACATTTTATTTGGGATAGTCTACTGACTGTCTACATAGATGACACTTATACAATAGTTTACGTTGTCTACACGTAAACGTAGAATATTATATTTTATATATTATATTTTATATTTTATATTTTATATTATTCAAAACGACAGAAATAACCTTTTATGTGTACAAAATGTTAACTACGTAGCCATGTCAAAGAATGTTACCAATGGATAACACACGTTGGGTACATACAGTCGGTATAGAGGAAAGTCTGAAAATGTCCTGCGCGCGTTTAAATAACATAGCCAAAATTGAAATAAAATAATTATTATTGAATTAAAATAATTTTATTATTTCATTGTTTTGTTTAATATTACATAGCAAAATCTGGTTTCTCGAAGAGTGGATTTAGTACGGACACGCATCATAAATTGTGCAGAAAACTAGATTTTGCTACGTAATTTGGATCCACTTCTTCAGAGGGCATTGATGCACGTGGGCATTTTAGCGTTTGTTCCATGCGTGTCGACACTTTCAACATAACCTAACCTAATGAGATACAGTAATTGCTCATTTTACATAAGTATTTTAAAAGTAACGCGAGAATAAATTGTAACATCCGTATTTGAGTGTAGAAATAATTTTTGTACAGTTCGAGGAAGCAGACATGAGATTAACGTCCAGTTTGTTAAAACGCGTGGGAGAATGGTCGACGAAATACTCAAATTTGCCGGACAGATACATAAAACGCGCTATGGAACAGGTTTGCACAATTGTTAAATTTGTTTTAGCCTGCACATTGTCAAAGGACCACGCATAAACCCCACAGAAATTGAACTTGAATCGAATTGGGCAAAATTTTAATATGTTATAATTCTTTTCACGTTGATAAAGCGTCATTTAGAAAAAGCCCATCATTCCATTAGTGAAATCTTTAATAACGTGGAAATTTACTTATAACAAATACAATACAAAGAAAAAAAAGATATATTTATATTATTTTTATAATATTACATATTTTTTATGAGAACAATAATATTAAAATGATGAGTTCTAATTTTTAGACTTTGCACAACTGAATTGAATAACTTGTTTAGTTTTGCAAGTTGTGTTTATTACTGAATTAATAATTAGGTTAATTATATAGATTGCTCAAAGTTGTCTTAATAGCACTCTGCTGACAAATTAGTTTCTTTTATTAATTTTAACGTTTATTATTTGTTAAGGTTTACTGGAAGACTCCTCGCAAACCAAATTATTTGCCACGCACGATTGAAAGAAAACGATTTCATTTCTCTATACATCGTCCATGGACGCACGATTTTCATCGTGAAAATGCACCTGGTAAAATGCATCCATTCATTCATGTAGAGCCTATTAAGGATTGGTCCTTTTTTCGAGGTGACAGGGTATGTCACTTTATTGATAAAACTTTTCATGAAAAATAAAGAGAAAAGAGATGACGTTTTAGTAACATTATTTTTATAGAAAAATATTGCTTATTACTCTTATATTTTTCTAGGTAGAGATTTTAGTAGGAAAAGATAAAGGAAAGCAAGGGATTGTAAAAGAGATTTATCAAGAAAGAAATTGGGTGATTGTCGAAGGACTTAACATGAAGCTGACGACCACTAAATGGGATAAAAAGTATCCTCCTATGTGTATACTGAAAGAACAGCCGCTATTAATAACCTCGCAAGTGCAATTGGTCGATCCTTCAGATATGTGAGTTGTCTATTTGAAGAATTTATTTTCGAAAATAAAGACATATTGTCAACGTTTTACAATATTAATTTACAAATTGAATTGTTGCAGGCAAGCAGCTTCGATAGAATGGCGATACACAGAGGATGGCCAGCGTGTACGCATATCCGTGAGATCTGGTAGGGTAATTCCTATTCCCGTTTCGAGTCAGGAAACAATAGATTACAAAATCCCTCGGTTGTATGTAGAACAAGCAAAAGACACAACCAAAGCTGATGTCGAAACAATAACTTACGAGGTACGTCAAATATAAAATATTTCGAATTTAAATATCTATTTATTTCTGTTTATAGATCTTATATTAAAAAGTTGAATAAAATGAATGAAAATTTTACTGCAACATTTGAAGTAACACATAAATTTTGCATAGAAATGTCTGAAGTAAAAAAAAAATTAAATGCATTATGCTCTTCTATTTACAGCCAGCATTGAAAACGTTCCAGATGGATGTCATGGATGAAATGGGTATTAAAGAAGATCGTGTTCCAAAGAAGTTTTATTGGTATTAATCATTATATACAATTCGCAGGTATTTTCAATGTACAGCTATATAATATTTAATAAATATATATTTAGCGAACAAAGGGATGAGAACATAGTTTTTTAATATAACTAAAAAAAATCTCACAATCTTTTTAAATGAAAAAGATGCGCAAAAATTGAAACGTTTCCAATATAATTCATCTTTAATAATTTCAACGTCTTTTTCTTAGTATCGAAAGATTTTGTATTTCTTTAACAAAAGCTATATTCTGAAGTGTCCCTGTTTGCAACGCTTTGTATAGGAAATACGCAATAAAAAGACCATTGATAACATAAAACATTAATAAAAAAAAAACGAACAATTCAGTGCTTTATATATATAACGAATTTACAAATTGGATTAAAATACGTAATAATTGATTAGTATTTCAATCGATAGTTGCTTGTTTTATGCTAAATCGTGTCACACACATATCACAGCACAAAATTTTAATAAATGCAAATCCCGAAACGCGCTTCGTATTACATTTAAATATACATTCCGATATATCCTTTTACATTAATATTCTGTTAGGTATGACACTTTTTCCCTTAACTCGGCGCATTCGTAATTCCGATATTGCAATATAATTGACAATTGAGCTAGCGATCAGTTTTGCGTTTTCAAAAATGACGAATATTTATGGCCGTATATTTTTTTATTATGGACGCGTAGGAAAAGCGAGGGGGGACGCTATTTGCGAAAATTGAAATGTAAGAAACGAATGAAATCTTGATTCAACATTCGAAATTCAAGTCAAATGGATTTGCGAAAATTTATAGATATAGATCGATCGGAGGATCCCGTCTTCGCGGCGCACTTCACGTCGGACGCGCCGTCGCGATGTTGCGCATCAATCATCGCGATAGTTTATGGTCAGTTCGAAAAGCGTCGCCGCCGCGTGTACGCTAATAAGTGCCGGTTTTTCCATTGTCATTCCGCGGGTTCTCGTGTGCTTTCGGATGCTCCCCACCGACATCGGCGAGTCGTACTTCATCCCGCTGCATTCTTAATAAAAATATAACAGGTATGAGGAGAGAGATGATCGGGAAATGAAGCGACGCGGGGAGATCTTTGACGCGCGACCGCCTTCACCCATTTTCTTTCCCCTCGTTTCGGACCTCAAGATCCATTCCAAGATCTCTCGTCTGAAATAATTACTTTACATTCCGTCCCGTTATATCTTTACTGCCTGCGAAACGCGACTAATCGCACAAAGCGTCGCGCCTCGAGTTGATTTCTCGCCGATAATATCTCGACGTCGCGAAACAGCATTCCATTCATGCAACGCCACGCGACGCGGTATCGCCGCGTGATGAAGCACATTATTTATTGTACGTTGATGATTAGCTTTATCGAGACAATCACGATCGGCGTGATCTCGTGAATGCCATTGCGACGGAAATGACGAGTCGCGCAAGATTCAATTGGCGCGGCTATATTGATTGTTGCAATTTCAGTAGCAGTCGGCGCTTTTTCTTTACTCCGCGAGTAAATTTAAAGTTTAGTGATTATTATGGATAACCGCGAGATGGCGTCATATGATGGCTTTTTTTAATAGAGATCTCAAGTGAAAGAGTTTGGACCGTTTTTTATCATTTAGACAATTAAACCGCTGTATGTTTAATTACAAAGAAATTTATTTTTTATTATTATTTTGTAAATTACTTGCAAGTGATGATAATGATAATAATGTACCTATATATGGATTGTTGACTTAAAAATCTTTTTTTATTAATAAACTGCATAAGTACTAAATTGATTTGAATGTTTCTGAAAATGCCATAAATTTACAAATAATGTCCAAACTCTTACTTGAGAATTATGTTTTTCTTTTTACTTCTAGCACAAACTTGTTTCGTGATTTTATTGTATTACATTTTATTTTATTGTGTATGACTTCGATTAATTGATCGAGATAATCAGCGATCAACTTATCAAACAGTACTTATATTATCTTGTTAACGTAAATAGAAAACGTAATTTTGTTGTTTTAATAATTCAATACATGAAAAGAAAAATTCGATTAGGTAGAATGATTTACATTGTTAGAAATGTTGTTGCAAGCAATTCTACTAGTCGAGTTAATCGTCAATTTTTAGTTAATTAAAGTTTAAACGAAATCATCTTTAGAAAACTGAAACGATCTCTCGCGTTAATTAATTGCTATAACAGCGCATCAGCTCTGACCATCTATTCGTATGAAAATATTCTATCGTTCGTATCCTAACAACGTAACAGGAACCACTATAGTAAGGCGACGGGGGGAGTACGTTAGAAATAGGCGATCTACAATCAGGCTCATATTTATAACTATCTACTCAGCTATTTTGCTTGTCGCAAATCCTTAATTCGAACTATTACTGCACGGCCGGCACTATGGAATTAATGTACGAGTGATACGTATCAAAGACGTATCGCTTTAATAAATTGATTAATTGGCATGCCTACCTACTTCACATTCCAGTAATATTACGTTCCGCTTGCGTATGGCATACATTGAAATTTCCATGTATAATATTTCGTTGTCAAAACGTATACTATTAAAACGATTTATTGCTGCATCTCGATTGAAATTTATGGAACGAAAATATTTTTCCTATTATTATTATACACGGAGAGAATTTTCTTTTAAAATTTATCCTGAAAATCACGTTAATTGTGAGACAATATAGTATTTAGGTAAATTTTACTGTGCACTACAATAAATTTTACTGCGAAATCTTATTGTAGTGCACAGTAAAATTTGCCTAAATACTATATTGTCCCATAATTAACATAATTTGCAGGGTAAATTTAAAAAAAAAATTCTCTCCGTGTAGACTT